TCGACAATTCCAGGATTTTTTCATAGGAATAAGCGTTCAGATTTGTTCAGGTAACTGTTTAAAAAGAAAATTTTTAATTAACTTTCCAAAATCCTTTTGAATTCCAACACTCGAACAAAAATAATAATAAATTATTTTTTTTCTTACTTTCAAAATTCTAAACCTAATAATAATAATAATGATAATAATAAAAAAAGTTGGGGCCCTGATATAGGTACATTAAATTTTGGGAATAACGTAATAAAAAAAAAAAAATTTTTTTAACGGTTCATTACTTTTTTTTTTCTCGTAAGAGTCTGTAACAGCGGAATATTATTATTATTATTATTATTACATTTCTCCCGGTTTTTGATTTTAGAATCCGACGTGGACTCGTATCCACATATTCTTATAGCACATATGCGAACCTCTAAAACAATATTATTACCTATTAGAAAACGTTTTAGTTTGCGTATGTCGCGCATAGAGAGGCCACAGCGTCACCTTCAAGTGCCATGGAGGCCAAATAGAGAATAAAACTAATGCCGGCTAAAAGGGCACGTTATTTTAAGTGTAGAGTAACAAGATAGGGCTTTATAATTGCAGGACAAAGGGGGCCGTCGGGCATGGGCCCCATGCGCGTTTTAAATCTTTTACTTTGCGCTTGCTTTCCCAACTTTCTCACTCCATTCCCCCTTCATTCACGCGTTTTACGTGTGACAAAAACTTATATTCCGTCTGCGCTTAAAAATTGATTTGACTTTTATTTAATTTTTAAAAATTTAAATAAGTAGATGTAAATCATATCGCAGGCTGACAACATTTGGAAAATAAAACAAACGTAAACAAAACTACTTTGGCAAACCTCTTACACCGAACGTGTAGTACGTTAATTACGCTCGTGTAATTTTTATAAGATTTGCACGTGCGATAAAAAAAAATTTAATTTATGGTAGCTGACACATTTGTTCGACAAAATCCGGAAAAAAAAAAAAATTTTGAACTAATAAATACTGGAGAAAATATTTTTGCTGGAAAAAAAAAAAAAAAAATTTTTTTTTCTTACCATTTTACACAAGATATAATCAAATATGGTCGTCATCGTCGTCGACGTTGTTGTTTTGCGTCTTTTTCATTTCTTTTTTTTTTTTTTTTTTTTATTTCATTACAAATTTTAAAATTATATACATGATCGTATAGTACCTCTTGAAAGGGCATTGTCACCTGACACACATGGTAAGAAATTTTGAGAGTTCGCGCAGATCATGCGCACGCAGACGCACATGATTATATTTCACGGGAAACGAAAAATAAATACAAAAAAAAATAATAATAATAATAATAAAACATGGAAAATAACACGTGGACTTTGTTTTTATTTTTTATTTTTTTCCCGTTCGTTTGCCCGTCCGTTATTATCGAAAATTCTAGAAATCGAATTTAAATTTATTATTTAATTTTGTAAGTCAATAACGAGTTTCTATATTAATATTTACGTTTAGAAAAAAAAAAAATTTTTTTACTTAAATTATTATTTACCTAACTAACGCCATTTGTTTTCGTATGTTGATATATATATTTATCATCATTATTCCGTGTAAAAATTTTATCAGGGTGGGGAGTATACCTTAAGTGTGTGTGTGTGATAATACCCCATCGATATTAAATTTTTTTTATTTCTGCTCCCTAACTTTTAATTTTAAATATAAACTGTGTTTAAACTGAAAATCATCAAAAAAAAAATTATTAATACTCTTTAAAATATCAATAATAATAATAATAATAATAATAATAATAATAATAATAATAATAATAATAATAAAAGAAAAATATTCGTACAAAAAACATTTATTCCATTCACAAACGAAAAAAAGGAAACAAGAAAAAGGGGAGGAAAAAAATAATAATAATAAAGGACGATTTCGATAAAAAAAAAAACGAACCACATGTGTGTTGTTGACCCTCGTAAAATTATTCTTGTTAAGGGTAGATATAAACCTCTTCAATATTTTGATTTACTGATATCACAAATGCGAAGATGACGTCACAAAACCTCTTTTTAACCCTTTCATCACGGTACGTAGGCAGCGTTTGTTGTTGTTGATTTTTTTTTTCGAACTTTTTATATAATTTTTCGACCGGATTTATTTATTTATTTTTTTAATTAGACTTTATTATTATTATTATCGCACGTTTTCGATTAAATACGTATATTAAAGTATATAATATAAATAAAATAATTAATCGTCTGGTAAAATTAATTAATAAAAATTCAAAATGGAAATTTTCAAAGGACGGAACAGGAGAAACATAAAAAAATTGTTTTATGGCGTACATTATCATGCACGTAAATGCAACATGCAATTAATATTAATAATAACGAATTAAAAATTATTTATTATGGGCATAAAATAATTTACGAGGTTGTAAAATAATAATAATAATAATACTATTCTATATAGGATTCGGGGGAAAAAAACGCGTTGGCACACGGTAACAGATATTAAATAAAAAATGGCGAAAAGAGAGGAAAAAAATATTTAAAAAAAAAATAAAATAAAAATGACGACAAGATAAACTGATTCGGCGTACTAGAGAGTGAGTGAGTGAGTGAGTGAGTGAGAGTGAGTGAGTGAGAGAGATAGAGATAGAGTGGGGCAACAAAGATATACAAACGAGAATGGAGGCTAAAAAAAAAAAAAAAAATAACCGTGAAAAGAAAACGAAAGAAATGGGGGAAAAAAAAACAAAAAAATCTCCTAAATATTATAAGAAACTAATAAAATTTAATAATGAATTTGATTACTTGTTTCGTTTAAAAATAAAAAAATATATAAATATTTATTTTTTTTTACAAAAAAAAAAAATAAATAAATAAATAAATAATTAACGTTTTCTTTTTTATTCAATGTATTAAAATAAAATAAATAATAATAATAAAAATAAACAAACAAACAAAAAAAAAAAAAACAAGATGGCGGATTCCGTTTTTATTACAAATTAAAAAGGGGGAGAATAAATGAATTATTTATTAATGATTAAATAAATAAATAAATAAATATGAATTCGAATGACCCATTACTATTATTATTATTATTATTATTATTTTTATTATGTACATAAAAATAAATAAATAAATAAATAAATATTAATTTTTTTATCGTTTGACGCATGCGCGTTATTTTTGATAAAAAAAAGAACGAAAAATATATATCAATAATTTTATTTTTATTTTTTATTTTTATTTTTATTTATTTTTAACGGAAGAAGAAAAGGGCGAAAGTGGAGAGAAAAAAAATGGCGCGTAAAATATATTTTTAAAAATTATATATGTATATATATTGAATTTATATTTAACTTATGGAATGGTTAATAATTTTATGTTACGTTTAAATTTTTTTTCTTCCCCCTTTTTTTAACATTAAATTCGAATCGTTTTGTTTGTTTGTTTGTTTGTTTGTTCGTTCGTTCGTTTGTCTTTTTAAACAAATTATTTAGGTTAATAAATTTGTAAATAATTAATTGAAGAGTAAGTTTGAAATTGCTACGTAATTATTAATCAAAAACGGCCCCTATTATTTTAATTAATAAAAAAAAAAAAAAAATTAGTACGTCGATTAATATTAATTATTTTAATTATTATTATTATGAATCTTCCCCCCCCCTCTTACCCCCCGTGACAGTCAAATTTAAAACAAGCTCTGAAAAAATTAAAAAAAATTAAAAAAAAAATTAAATTCGAACGAAGAAGAGTCGATAAAAAATAAAAATGGCGGGGATAACGGCAAAACGTTGATATTCCCTCCCCTCTTTTTTATATATTTTCATTCTTTCTTTTTACTTTCCACGGTTCTCTCCGTCTCTCTCTCTCTCTCTCTCTTCTTCTATTGCGAGCCAGAAATTCTCGAAATTCTTGGAAATCTTACTTTAATTCCATTTCATTAAAAAAAATTTTAAGTTGATGTGAATTCGCATATGTTAAATGATGACACTCTGGGTGTTTGTACGATGATTGAGACAGATACTTTTCACTCACTCGTAATTTTTTGAGTATTCTCTATACTAAGACTTCATAAAAATCAAGAGGTTACCCCGTACGATACACAAATATTTCTCTGTTAACGAAAGCAACGTTGTCAAATCGATAGCGTGCGGTGTGTGTATGTTTATCTTATGTAGTAGCATTTTATTCATAGCGACGAACACATGCGCATTCGATAAAACTCGGTTGCCAGAATTATTCGAAAACGTTACTTGAACATTTTAAAATAATTTTTTTTTTTTTTACCAATTTTGTATTGTACTAATTTTTAAAAATCAATTTTCCTCATGTTTAACAATTGCGATCGAAAAAAAACGTTACATTTGAATAAATATGCAAAGCAAAATAAATAAATTGCAAATTAACGATTATTGTTTTACAGAAAAACTAATTTAAAAATCCTACGAGTGAATACATGAATAAATTTTAATTACATTACTATTATTATTAGTATTATTAAATTTAAAACTAACGTACGCATCAAAATCTTAAAAAAAAAAAATAAATAAATAAAAATTTACTTTTACGAATAAAATATACAACAATTTTTAAAATAAAATCACGTGGATTTACGTGAATGCTCTGTGACGTCATCAACCTCTAGCCATGACCACGACCTCGCCGTATCTCTGCCTTTAATATTAGAAAAACATGCAAGTAGGAAGTCTGCTTCATTGCCACAGAATTCAAGCCGACTTCAGTCACGATTTATTATGAGTAAGAATTATAAAATGAACTTGTTTTACTATCGATTAAAATTATATAAAAAAATCATTTTACATTTCTTTTTCTTTTTTCGTTTTTAAAGAAACCGTATTTAGCTTACTGTAAACAATATTATTATTATTATTCCCATTCTTTTTTCATTTTTAAATTTTAAAATGGCAAAAAATGTTTATGTAATGACCCATTCGAGAAAAATTTAAATAATACCACCATAACGAATAATAAGAAGGCAGTGTTTAAAATGTATTAAATCATGAAAGGTCGTCTGCTTTCAAATTTTGGGGTTGTTTTAAAAATTATATGTTATGATCATAAAGATATATAAACAAACGCTAAAGGTGTTATTTTCACCGTCGTATCAATCCGACATATTCGGAATACCCCCTTTTCTAGAAGCCAAACGACTTTTGTTAATTTCGGTACAATTTTACGCATGCATCGTTGTTACATTATTAACAACATGCATTGTGTTTGCAAAATTTTTAAAATATGACACGTCAGTTTGGAAAAAAGCCATCGCGTATACATCGCCATCGAATAAAGAAATAAAAAATTTAGAACGTGAAGAAATTATATGGGCAACCTACATCGAATGGATAGATGATTATTATAATTTCTACACGAACGTTGTCGAACAGATAAATACCGTTTTAGAAAACGATATTAATTCAGTCCATAATGATAAATTATCGATAAGCGAACCAAATTTAATACAGAGTAAAAATGCAGTTAAATACGCTTGCGATGCAATTATAAATCATAAAAGTAAAAAAAAAACAAATTCCGATGTTTCGATACCCAAATCGTTTTTGGACGTTAATGAAAATCCTCCTTCATGTGAAAAAAAAAAAAGAAAAGTTAATTAAGTACGGGTTTTTTTGTGTTTATTTTATATAAAAAAAAAAATATATATGTATATATATATATATACTGTCATTTGTATAGAAATCGATAATGTTGTGGTAAATTATCATCTCATGACAAATTGAATTCAGGTATGATTTTCCTTTTCATTTATCAACAAATATTTCGATTCGAAAATTATCATCATAAATTTTTTTTTTTACAGGTTTTCTGAAAATCATTACAAAAAAAAAAGAAAAATAACTTTTTTATTAAAAGCTATCAAATAATTTTTTTACCTGACGGTGACAAAAAAAAAAAAAAAATGTAAATAATTTAAAATGGAATGGAGGTAAACATATATATATTTATATATTTAATTCATTTTTTTTTTTTTTTTTGGGGGGGGTTTAATTTTTAAAAATTATTTTTTTTTCAAAAAAAATAATTATGACCTTTACGAAAGAAAAAAAAAATATAAATTTTTTGGGGAACATTATATATATTAAATGTGTAGTAAATTATGTGAGAGTTAATAATAATTTTTAAAATTTATTCATATTATTTTTTGTATTTAAAAAAAAAAAAAAAAAAAAAAAACGGGTCTTTAACATTTAAAATTTTTTTTTATATTTTGAAATGAATTTTTCAATCGAAATATCTTCAAAAAAAAAATATTAATTTTTTTGTTAAATTATTTAAATTTTTATTATTTATTTTTTTTTCCACGTTTAAAATTTATTTTTCGTTTAAATTTATTATCTGTCTCTCTCTCTCTCTCTCGGAAAAATCAAAAATGTCGATTTTATTAAAGTTTTATTATTAAATCGTTCGTAAAAAAAAAAAAAAATATTTAATAAATGAAATAATTGTCATCTGTCGTGGAATCAACGCCGTCGTACGACGCGCGCAAACTCCTTCCACGATTTTTAGAGCTTGCGTCGTTAATATCGCTGTCGATTTCGTTCCCTACCTCCTTCCCTTTCTCCTCCTACCCGGAGTAAAATTTTCTTTATTACGCAGGGTAAATTTTTCGTGTGCGTAAAAAAAAAGAAAAAACGTCTACGTTATTCTGATTTTCTGATATTAAAAAGCGATTCCTCCTTCACTGTCCTTATTGCTGACTCCTTATCATACGAATATTCCAAAATTTTTCCTTTCCCTTTAATTTTTTCATCCCCTTTTGTTTTCCTTCACGCTTTTGTTTAACATCCAGTATTTTAACTGACTCTTTTCTTATTCGTACCTCTTTTTTAATATATTTTCCTATTTATAAAAAGCTCGCTTTTGCTGACAGGTTGACTGTGATCCTTTTTCCATTTGATACCATTTTCAGCAAAAAAAAATTTCTTTTTGTAATTTTTGATTGATAAAAAAAAAAAAAATTCATATTCAGTTATTCTGGAAAGTTCGATTTGAAATTTTCTCCTGGATTTAAAAATAATAATAATAATTTATTTATTTGTTAATAATTCGCATGATATTAAAATATATGTAAATAATTTTTAAATTTTATTCTACATTTAATGGAACCGAATGGCTGGAACGTGAAAAAAATCGTTACTGGAATTTCCTCACCCGAATAAGTTAAAAGAAAAGAAAAGAAAAGAAAAAGAGGGGGAAAATGAAAAGAAAAGAATTTTGAGAGTCGATCAAAAATACAGACAAACGCAGACAGACGCAGAGATAGGAAAAAGGAAAACTGGAAAATATATATATAAATTTTCCAGAGTGAAAAAAAAACCTTTTAAATATTATTCCTTCCTGTTAAATATCCAAAATGAAAATGAACCAGTCACCCCCGGCTGGAATTAAAAAAATATTTTCTTTTAAAATGTATATAAAAAAATCGATAGAAAATTCTTTTCCATTTTACCCTTTAAATTTTTCCAGGGAAAATTCAAAACGTTCGGAAAATTATTATTTTCTGATATAAAACCAAAATTAAAGCGGACCTGCTTTTTCTCGTCGTCCTTTTTCCCCTTTTCTTTTATCCGAGCTTTACACTCCGCTTTCATTCTTTCCCCCCACTTTCTTATTTCTCCTGTGCCGGAGAAAACAAACTCACGATTGAATCCTGGAGAAAATTTTCCTCAACTGAGGGACCGTTCACTTACCCCTATTTTTCTAATTATTGTTCTTATCATTATTATTATTATTTTCTTTTTGTTTTCTTATTTAAAAAATTAAAACCCCCATGATCATATCTGAAAATTTTTTCCCCAAAAAAAAAAACGAAATTGTTGGGGAGCTCCGACAAAAAAAAAATGGAGGAATTTTTTTTCCAGAATTTTCTTTTCGAAAAATAAAATTATTACTAATAAGTGATTTCGAATGCACGATCTGGAAAAAAATTTTCCAGTGATTTAATGTAAACGAAAAAAAAAAAAAACCAAAAACGGGGAAAAAAAATTAAGGAAAAATTTATTTTAAAAACATTTTCCGGAGTGATACAGCAAACGTTTTAACCTTTATGTTTTCCTGTTGGAAAATCTCCTAAAATTCAAACCTGTTGGCCTTATTCTCCTCTTGTTTGCTCACACGATTCGTAAAAATGGTTGAAATTTGTCCCTTCGATGTTTTTTCACAAATCGGGGAAGGGGAGTTTTACCCCTTGATAAAAAAAAAAAATTTCTTTTTATTTTTTTGGGTTTCCCTCCTCTGTTGCCTTTTTTCCAGTTTGGAAAATAAAATTTTTTTCCCCTTATCATTTTGTTTGTTTTGTTATCGTACAAACAAAAGGATTTTGGAAAGAATAATAACAGAATTATTATTATTATTATTATTTTTCTTTTTTGTTAACCCGCATTTTTTAATTGAAAAAATAAATTTTTTTTTTTTTTTTTCGGGAAATTTTTCGATTGGAAAATTCTAGAATGTTTCTGTACGTACATGAATGCGATCGATAAAACTGTAACTGATAAGAAATAAAACGAAATTGATTTAAATTTGATAAAAGAAAGAAAATAATAAATAAAGAGAAAGACAAAAGAGAAAAAAAATCAAAAAGGTAAATTTTCTTTTCAAAAATTAAATGAGGGGAAATAAATTAAAACAAAAAAGCACAACCCAGGAAGGAGAGTTAGACAAAGAGAGAGAGAGAGAGAGAGAAAGTTAGTGAGAAAGCAAGAGAAAAATCGAGAAATCGGAGAAGAAAATAAAACAAAGGAAAAAACGGAAACTGAGTTGAAAGCTGCGGAATAAGAACCGCCGAATCCCCGGATATTTAAAAAAGGCACGAGACTCGACACAACAGCACGTCCGTTGTTAACCTTGATCAAATACGCATGCGATGAAAGAGGTGTTCCTGTTGTTGTCAAGCGTTCGAATACGAAACGAATAACTAAAATAAAATCGAAAGAGAGAGAGAGAGAGAGAAATATTACTTTCTTGCCAAAATCCGACAGGCCCTTTTTTACTGTCGTTCGTTATCAGTAAATCATGTGCTGCACTCACTCGTCGTTTCTTATTATACAAAAGCTCTCGACAACGTCGTTTTTTATATAACCGACGTTCTGCATCGGATGTTTTTTTGATTATTAAATACAAGCTGAGTGTTAGATGAAAGAAAAGAAAAAGCAATTGGGACGAACCCCCCTCCCCCCTCCCCTCCCCAATAACCAGCTGTTCGTTTGAGCATCTGTTGTTGCATTACACGTACGAATACAAAAAATTTTAATGTTAAATACAATGAGACTATATGTGTAAAACATGTCATTGTTTGTTACGTATCAGGACCGTATTAAGAATTTTATTTTTTAATTATTAAATTCAAATAAAAATCAAGAGAAAATTTAAAAAAAAAAAACAAATATTCATATTACAATTTGTTTTTTTTTTTTTTTTTTCGTTTCCAAAAATTTCCCGGTGAGATTTTCCGAATTTTTTTTTTTTTATTGACTCTTATCATTCTTATCACTGACGTCATACACGATAACAAAAGAGTTAGAAAAAAAAAAAAATTTCTGTTATTGATTTTTTAACTTGTTTTATACGAAGAGGGATAGAATATTGAGAGGGAGGAAAATTACCCCTCTCAATCATTACCTTTCTCTCTTTTTTTTCTTCCTTTCTTTCCCTTTCATTTATATTTTAACGTTCAACGTACGATAAATTCTATTATCCTGATTTTGGAAAACCCAATTTTAAGCTGTTGGGATACGAATTAGAAGGGGATGAAACGAAAAAGGAAAAACCCCGATATGGTATACGAAAAAGAAACGGGGAAAATTCATATCGACCTACAAATTTTTATATTACCTTAATCAAAGGGTAGGATGTGAACGAACCGTTTGAACGTGTATATGCCTTTACTAAGGGGGTTGATTTTCCTGACGAACGTAGGGTGAACGTAGGGTTTTGTTAAAAATTTTTTTTCCTTCCACAAACCCCCCATTGATGTATATCAATTTCGACTGAATTTTCACGAGGGATTCGTTAAAAATGTTTAAAATTGAATATTTCGAATTTTTATGACGATACCTGAAAAATTTGAAAATCAAAAAAATGCCATTTTAAAAGATTGAAAGATTTTTCTTCCTGTTTGCTCGTTCGGTTAATCATTAACACATTAAATTTTTTTTTTTTTTTCATAAAACAGGTTTTGAACCTAAAAATCAATTAAACGAATACCTAAAAAAAAAAAGGAAAAATTTTTACAAAGGGACAAATGGGAAAGAGATGAAAACGATCATTTCACGAAAGGGAAGGATGTTGTAGGAAATTCGAGGGTGAATTTTGTAGGAAATTTTCAGGGGATGAAATCAACTCCCCTCAATCTCTTTATTGAGATTTCATCCCTTGTTTCATCCCTATTTCGACTTGCGCTCTATTATCATCGATATTTTCTCAATACTTTTTCATCGATACCCTAAATTTATACTTTTCTGATACAACCAATCATTTTCCATTATTGGTAATAGAGTTCGATCACTACGATTACTAACCGATAATTTTCTTTTGACAGATTTTCTTTTTTTTTTTCCTTTTTCCTCTTGCGATTCGCACTCGACTTTTTTCCTTCTTTTTCTTTTCCTTTTTAATTATTATTATTATTTTAATCATCTTTATTATTTTTCTTCTTTTTCTAATCTACTTGTATTGTTTTTTATTTATTTTTTTAATTACCGAATATTAAAAAAAAAAAAAAATGACGGTTTAAAAAAAAAAAAAAACTATTAAAAATAAATTCGTCGCTTATGTATCTATGTATGAACTATGTATGAAAATTAATAATTTGGAAATGATTCCCTGTTTTATGTATGCACAATTATTTGTTAAGCCATTTACCAAAAAGTTTTTCTTAAATAAAATTGTTTATAACAAAACAATTAAAAAATTAATTTATTAATTAAAATTTTTAATTATTTTTAAATGCAAAAGCACTTATAGGAGAAGCAAAAGAAGAAGAAGAAAATCATAAAATATTTTGTTATTTTAAAAAAAAAAATATTAAAAAGTTTAAAACAAAAAAACTTGTTAGAAAAATTATAATTTAAACTTACTTACCCGTATTAAACAATTTTTTTTCCGCCATCATTATTATTTGAACGGTTGGCACCCCCTTATTTTTTACGTTTCGAAGTTAATTTGGCAAAACTGAAAAAAAAAAAAGAAAAAAATTGAAATCAGAAACATGTAATGGAATTCTTATGAATAATAAATTAATAATTTTTTTATTTAAAAAAAAAAAAAAGAAAAAAAAAACACGTTTATGTTATTTTATATCGGAATTGATTAGTTTTTATTTTATATGATATAAATAATTTATTTAAGGGAAAATATGGAAGAATTAATCGGACCTGACGTAGAAGTCGTGTTGGCTTTGAAAGAAGGTTCGTTAAATTTAAATTAACGGTTTTATTTAATTTTTAAGTAATTGTAAATTCCTAAATTTAAATTACTTGCTATAATTTTTATTTATATTATTATTATGTAGATATTGTTTTTACAAATATAATTATAACATTAATGTAAAACAATCAGTAATAAATATAATTATTGATATATGTTTATGAGTGGTTTATTTTTATAAATGAAACAAACCTGAAATTTGATTTTGAATCCCATTAATAATTCTTATGATTATTATTTATATATAATTTATTTATTTCATTTTGCAGTCACCGACCTTGGATTTATAAACACTCCAGTTTTTATGATGGCTACATTATTAGATAATCAAATGGAAACAGATTTGAAACAACCCGACTCTGTTGTAAGATTCAATGTTGATTTAATTTGGGAAACGAATAAAATAAATTTAAAAAAAATGAGAAATAATGGAGTTCCAATAAAGATTAACTTATTTAAATATTACAACGAAAATCAAAAGGAAAAATTTGGTTATGTTGTCGTTAATTTACGATCAGCTTATTATGTACAAAAAAATAAACCTGCTAAAATTGTCGAAGAAAATTTTAAAGTTCTCGGACTTGGAAAAGAATCCAAAGGATATTCACCTCATGTTTTATTATCTCTAAGGTATAAATTACATTAATGTTTTTTTTTTTTTTTTTTTTTTTTTCATTAAGTAATTTATAAATTATTATTTATAAACTCCTCTTATCTAATCGAAATGATTTTTTTCACATATAAGAATACAAGATAAAGTTTTAAATGATAACGATTTTCTTCAGCAAGAAAACATTGTACCTGTTTATGAATCTCTCTGTGATAAAAATGAAGAAGTTGATCAAATGAAGAATAATGAAGAAAAATCAAACGTTCCGGTTAATAATGAAAATCCAGTAAAATACGACAGTGGAGATGTGGGAAGTAAGTAAGAATTTAACATTTCGACAAACACAAAATAAAACAATTTGTTTGTTTGTTCAGAAGAACACTCTTACCTTGATTTCAATTGATTGTTCATTGTATCATTATGATCTTTCAGCTTTAAACCATGATGAAATTTTATCGTGGAAATTATCAGAACATGTCACATCACCAGCGAGAAGTCCTAGAACAAAACATAGCATTACCTCATGTGTCGAAGACAAGAAAATTAATTTGACAAATTATGAAAAGAAAAATTCATCAGGAGATTTACAACCGCAAAAAAAATGCGTACAAGCATTTCACACGTACAAATTAAAAATTTTTTTAAAAAATGTTATTTGGTATATAATACCACCAAAATTTAATTTCCGGTTTCATCAATCGAGGTGAGTTTTTTTTCTCTCTCTCTCTCACACATAAAACAATTCATTTGAAATTGAGTAAAAATTTTTTTTTTGTCCTAGATCAGAAGTTACTTTTACTGCTCATCCAGAAATAACAATAGATAAAGCAAACGAACCGGTTGAGCTTTGCGATATAGAAGCCACGTTTATTTTTTTAGAAACCCCTTCGGAATTTTTCAAATTACTCTCGACCGTACCACCAACGATTTCCATGTTCTGGAACGTGCAAAACAGACCAACCATAATCGCAAGAGGTATATTGGATACGCAGAAATTGGTTTGCGATGGGAGTGATGGCTTTTACTACATCGATCTCATAGAAATCAAATCTCACGAGGCTCTTGGAAAATTATGTTATTCTGCAAATTTAACGGATTGCGGTCCTCAGATAATGAAAGATGTCACACTGAAAGTAAAATCGTCCACGTTGGTAGATGAATCTGATCTCCCACCCGTATTTATGGATACCGTTACGGATAAAATTGTCGATGAGTTGGAAGAATGGAAAGAAAGACAAAAAGATATTTTCCAACAGAAAGTAATTATTTTAAAATTTTAAATTAAAAAATGAGTAAACAAATTAATAAATTTTTGTCATTTCAAATTTTAAAGTTTACGGCTCAATTGAAAACGGAAATACAAGATTTGAGAACGGAGTGGAAAAATAGAAAGTTGGAATTGGAGGAAAAATTAAATGAAAAAATGGAACAGTGTCGGGAATTGGGGAATTCCCTAATCGCGGCAACAGAAGACGTGAAACAAAAAAATCGGGAATTTTTAGAAAAGGAAAAAGCTTTGGAATCCGCCAAAAATGAATTGGAAGTCAGATATTTAAAATTGTTAACCGGTAACTTTCTTACATTATTGAGAGAGAGAGACAGAGAGAGAGAGAAAGAAACTAATTAATTTGTTGTAATTTTATAGAGAAAAATGAAGAGGTAGACAAATTAAAATTAGAATTGGAAATGACATCAGGTGATAATATGAATAGAATAAGCGAATTGGAAAAAGATAAAAAAGAACTCGGAGAACAACTCAAAGCCGTTCAGTTGGAAAATGAGAGGCTCAAAGAAGCTTTAAATTTGACCGAAAAAGAATTTGAAAAAAATAGGAGAGCTTGTTTGTCGCAAGAACAAACGGCTACACTTTTACAAGATTTGGTAAGCGACGAATCGATTGATTATTTCAAATCTTCCCATCCCATCAAAGCATATCGAACCCCCAAATCATTTGTGACACTTTAAATTTTTAGAAAACGATGCAGGAAAAACTTGAAACGGCAAACAATTCGAAATTATTTTTCAAAGAACAATGGGGACGAGCCGTGAGAGAAATTCATCGTATAAAATCCGAATACACGAAAAACATTCAAGTTCAATTGCAATATAGAAAAGACGAATTGAAAAAACTCGGTTTGGAACAATTGTGCATGAATGAAAAAAGTAAAAAAAGTATTTTCGACGGTGATGACGGATTGATGGATGCAAAAGATTTTTTAGGCTCAGACATGGACGTGAGAAGTAACATGTCGGATTTGGATTTTCCCTACAAGTAAATTAAATTTAAAAACGTTTTCGCGATTATCTTAGAAGGTGTATCGATTTGAGAAATTTTTTTTACTTTAACAGATCGAAATCGAATTACGAATCGTTTAGAGCGAGCATGGATTTGGTTAGAGAGAGCAACACTTACCTTCTTAAAAACAATCAGGAACACGAAGACAGATTGAATAAATTGATTGAAGAAAGGGATAAACTGCTGAGCGACGAAATGTGTCAAATCGACGATGAAAGAGTCATCAAATTGAACAAGGAAATTCGACACCTTTTGGAATATTGATACCTGAAAAACAATTAAATAAATCAGAAAAATAAAATTAAATGGAATCGAAGTGGGAGGAGTTTTTATCAAGCCCCTCCCCTCTTCTCCTCCCTCCTCCTTTCTCTCCACCCCTCCATTTCAAAACAAAAAAAAAAGTTATTAAAATTATTTGTAAAAGGATATTTTTGTTCCGATAATAAAACATAGTTTAGTTTATTATTATTATTATTATTATTATTATTTTATTATTTTATTTTTTTTTGATAAAAATATTTAATAATTTTGTACAACAACAGGAGAGAGAATAGAAAAAAAAAAAAAAAAAACAGATCATAATCAAACGAACCTGATTTTTTTTATGTGTATATATATATATATATATTTTTTGTCAAATTGATAATTTTTCTTTAAGAATTATTAATAAATAAATAAATAAAATTTTCCTTTTTTTTTTTTTATTTTGTTAAAAAAAACCAATCGGCGGAAAATTGTGGCGTTTCCGGGATAATTGACGGCACTTTTTGAATTTTTCCCTTATTAGTATTATTATTATCGATGGGGTTAAAGAGTTCAAGACATTTTTCTCTTTCTTTTCTTATCCCTTTTGTGTCTCGATTTTTTAGAATCTTTTCCCGTTTTCCCGTGATGCGATTCCATATTATCGGACGGCCTGGAAATGTGACTCCTCAAATTGGGTTCCCTATCACCGCCGTAACGGTAATCCGTAGTTCGTCCGAACCTGTTTCTCGACCTCCCGTCGTATCCCATGTAACTGTCGTTCGAAAACGTTCCCGTCACTTTACTCATCAGAGTCCTGTACGTTCTTTCATTATCTCTCTCCCGGCGATCGGGAATCCAATCGGGATCGCCCAAGGGTCTTGCTTTCCTTTCCGGCGATCCTCTCGACCAATCGTCCGAACCGCTCAACGACAGCGACCATTCCGTTTCTTCCGATTTCGCTTTGACCGCCGCCGGCTCCGGTTCTTTTACCTCCGATTGTACTTCTTTCTTTTTATCCTTGCTCTTCTGCTTTTCTTTATCTTTATCTTCCGCATTTTCCATTTTCCCATCCGATTTTTCCGTCGTCGTCGTCGTCATTTCTTTCGATTTGCTAATCGATCTCTTTATCGGAGTTCGCGATTTCGACTTCGATCGATCCCGACTTTCCGATCTTTTGTGTTTTGAACTTGACCTTCTCTTGCTTCCGGAACTGCGACTCCTATAACGTTTTCTATCTCTGTCTTTCGATCTGCTTTTACTCCGGGATTTCGATCGTCTCCTCGATCGACTTCGGGATCTTGATACGGAACGAGAATATTTTCTTGAACGGCTTCGTGAACGACTCAAAACTTTCCGGCAAACGACTCTCTCGCTCGAATGAGATCTGGATCTCGAACGAGATCTCGAATGCGCACGATAATCGTGTTCGTTGTAATCTCCTTTCGCTAACTTATTGAAATACCTTCGGAAAAAAACAAGAAAAAATTAAAATAATTTCCATCCGCCATTTTCCACAGATTTTCTTCTGCTTTACACTAACTTGTAATATTGAGAATTGATGCTTTGCATGTAAAACGAATTCATTGGTACGTTCGGATTAGGTTGAGCTGGAAAACCTCTTCCCCAACCTCTTCTGGGTATGTACACTCCGCGAGGTCTTCTCAATCCTCGACTTCTCATGTATCTCGGATTGTAAAAGTCGGAATATCCGATCCAAGAATGGACGGGACCTATGCTACTACTATCCAATTCTCCTTTCGAATGACCATCCGGTTTCGTCCAATCTCCACCGATACGTTCGGATGATTTTCCTATAAAAAAAAAAAAAAAGGACACACTAAACATTCTGAAACTCAAAAAATTTTCATTTTCGAATCTCGCATTATTATTTACCTTTACTTTTTTTATCATCATTATCATCATCATCATCATCATCATCGTTATCGGAACTCGAATTTAAATGACTGTAATTATCGCTCGATAAATCGCTCGATATATCTTCGACTCCATCTTCGGATATTTTATCCGATTTTCTTTTTTCATCTTCCATTTCTAATTTTTTCCTGTAGGAAATACATTTAAATGTAAAAATATGTCACCCCCTCCCCCCTTCGTAGCGAGAACAATAAAGAGGTTGAAATAATAAAAAAAAAAACCTACCGTCCGTCTATGTGATCCTGATACGCCATCCATTCTTCGTGGTAATTATTAAACATGTTACGATAACCTCTAAAAGGTCTTCTGGTCATGAAACCTCCTCGAAAACTTTTCGGATTCCAATCGTGATATCCGCCGTAACCTCCTACAACATCAACAACAACAAAACATTTTTCTTTTCTTTCTTTCTTCTCTCAATCTTTAAATCATTTTCCACTTTCTCTCTCTCTCTCTCACCTTTGTACGATTCGAAATTTGGATAATCCGGAAAATGTTCGTAATTTTCGAATTTTCCACGTTTGTAAACGTCAAATCCTCCTTCGTCATCTAAATTCTCGCTTTCTTTGCTCATCCTCATAGAATTTTTCAATTTGTTTTTCCCTTCTAAAGTCTTTTTGAGTTTCTCTCTCCTCTCTTGCATTTGTTGCTCTTGAGCATTTTTGATTTTCTTAACTAATTTTTTCCTCAATTCTTTTTCCTTGTCCAATAATTTTTCCTTTTTCTTTTTATCCTTATCACATCCTTTTTTCTTACGTTTGTCACTTTTTTTCTTTTTCGACTTCTTGTCATCATCGTCGTCATCGTCCTCATCATCATCGTCATAGTCATCGTCACAACCACCACCGCCTTCTTCTTTTTTTTCCCTTATCCTTTCACGTTTTCCCTCTTTTTGTTTTTCTATTTTGACTCTTTCGAACAATTCGTCGAGCAATCTTATGCTTTCCAATTTTCTCTGCGCCATTAATAATTTCCTCTCTTCGATCGCAATTTTTATATTCATTTGTTCGGCTTCTTTTTTTTTTAATTTTTTCAACAATTTTTGCTTTCTCTTTTCTTCTCTTTCTTTTTGCCGTCTTCCTTTCATTTCTTTTTCCTCTAGTTTTTTTCGACTTGAAACAAAATAACAAACGATTAGAGGTCACAACAAATGGCCAAACAATTTTAAACAATTTTCGTCCATCTTACTTTTCTTCTTCCAACGCCATGCGTGCCGCTTCTTCGTCTCGACGTTTTTCTTCTTCTTTTTCCCTTTCCTTAGCCATTAATTTCTCCCTTTCTAATTTTCTTTTCCTTATAGACATGTCGCTTAAATGTTTGGTCTTGTCGAAATCCACCTGCCATTTTCATTTTCGACATTTCTGATATTTATTCATTTTTAATATTTATTTATTTTTATTTATTTATTTATTTATATGCATTCGTAAATTTTTTATTTTATTTTTTATTTTATTTATTTTTTTTCTATTAATCACTGCCACAATAAATTTATTTATGTATAAAAGCTGTGAAATATTATATATGATTGCTAAATAAATATTTTCCTACCCCCTTCATCCCCCCCGCCCCGCCCCGCCCCGCCCCCCAATACAAAGAAAATTTTCTTTCGACACTTTTGAATTTTTCGACGTTCTTTTTTTAACGGTTTTTTTTTTTTTTTTTTCCTTTTCGATCGGCGTAAAAAAAAAAAAATTTACAGGTACAAAGACAAACTTGTTTTGGATAACAAAAAAAAAAAAAAAAAAGAAAAAAATCTGTTGGAAAAATGTCGCAGTTGATCGTTCAAATCCAATCGAATTGAACGAAAAACTGCGTAATTAGTTTTTACAAAACAAAAAAAAAAATTATGCTCCTGTGACGTCATCAAAACGACGATACAACATCGCAGGAACGACGCACGCTGCGATGCGAACGAAACAGGTTCATATATCCGGTTACAAAAAAAATTTAACGGATTGCGATCCGAACCTGTTTCGCCCACATAAAAATTAAAATAAATTTTTTAATAAAATTAAACTTACCCCATTTTGTTTTCCTTCCGTTTTTTTCTACAACCCCGTAAAAAGAAAATTAAAAGGTTAATACAAAAAAAAAAGGTTTGACGTTTAAATATACCTTAATGGATGCCGAATACGTTTCGTTTCCGTCTTTGTGAACCAATTTCATTCCTCTCAAAGCGTTCATGGCTTTGACGAAGCATATATATTCCTTGTACTGTATGTAAGCATCGAATGTCGAATCCGATGAATGACTGAATTTTTTTATACCTGATATGCTCGCTTTCATTTGATTCCTGTACGGATCGAGCATGGGTATGTCGACGCACCGGATTTCCCCGAAAATTTCGAAAACTTTTTCCAATGTGAATTCGTTGGGTATTTCGACGCCGTTACGCAAATCCTTTTTCGATATGAACCATTTGCTGGGTATGTTTTCTATGTGTATCGTGTCCGGCCTTTCTCCCGGTTTCATTTCGTTCATGTTTTTCGCATCCCGAAAATACTTATCCCAATCGTGACGAGTCGGAAAATCCGGTTTCGATTCTGCCGCTTTGACTTTTAACAATTCCGGAAATCCGCTCAATTTAATGGATTTACCATCGACGAGAGATATGACGTTACCCAATTGACTCCTGTTTTCTATTTCCGCATCGAAACGTATGAATTCGATCGTCGTTTTCGACACCCTTAAACTTATGAATTCTTCCGGTTGTATCATTTGTTTCAACCTTTCCATAACCTCCCAATTGGATATCGTTTTACCCGGAAGTCGAACTTGGGGCAACGCGACCGTTACGTTTAATTTGGCTTCCGGTTTGAGATAAAGTTGTTGCGGCAATGATATTTCCGTCAGCAGACTATTATCCGTACAATTTTGATACACCTCCATATTGAACGGATTTATTTATTTAAATAAATATCTGAAAATAAAAAAATAAGTAGCAAAAAAAAAAAATTTGAATTTTCTTTTAAATTTTTCATAAATGTTAATAATGATAATGATAATAATAATAATAATAATTAATTAAAACAACAACCAATGTCGAATCAATTAAAATTTGTAATTTGTTTCAAAATTTTTTCCCAATTGTTAATTATTTATTTATTTATTTATTTATTCAATTTAATAAAAAGTTTTCTATTAATAATAAGTTCGAGAACGAGAGCGAATAATAATAATAATAATAATAATAATGATTGTTAGATGATTGTTTATATCGTTAACGTTTAACTAAAAACAACCATTAAATGCAACAAACAACATGTTAAATAAAACATTCAAAATTATTTATCCGGGTTATTCAATAAATAAATAAATAAATAATAATAATAAATGTTAATAATATAATAATAATAATAATATTAATTTTATGCTTTTATTTAAGATTTGAGAATAAATTTAAATTATTTTTAACGACGTGAAAAACCATTTAAACGCCGTTTCCGGTTTTGTTGTTGTTGTTGTTAACGCAAAACATAAATAAATAAATAAATAAATAAATAAATAATGAATAGTTAAGGATGATTTGATTAATTAAAATAATTTTCCTTTTTTCCTTTTTTTTTTTTTTTTTTACCGTACCCAATAATTTATTTTGAGTTCTCACAATAACAAAAATATATATATATATATGTATGTATTTATTGAATTTATAATTTCGCAAAATTTTTATTTATTTATTAAATAAGTCAAGTTTAAAATAAATTAAAAGTCTTTAAAAAATATAATAATAATAATAATAATAAAATGGAAATTTTTTTTAGTCTTCGACGTCGCTCGACAACAAACAGTCTTCTGCTAAACAAATGGGCAATCCTTTATTACTATTACTATTATTATTATTAGTGGTAACGTTCGAAGCCTTGAGACTTCCAGGCACGTCATCCGTAATTGTTTTCAGGCACCACGATTCGTGTTCTTTTAAATATGGAAGCAAAGGTATGACCCACGCGGTTATGTCGTCTCCCGACGCCGGATTCCCGTCGCTTTTTTTCCACGACCTGTTTTCCGTCGAGGGTTTACCGCGTGCGTAATTGACCAAATCTTGTGCCGCGCACATGTATTGCTTGTCGTCCGACGTCGGCGAAAGGGTTGTTTTCCCCTTGTTTTCGTTCATCATTTTTTTAAAAGACGTTCGAACGGCATTCACGGCTTGACCGTTTTCCGTGACGTCGAACAATCCGTCGGATCCCATTATGATGACGTCGGCGGCAGCCAACGATAGTTTTGTTATGTCCAATACGCGGATTTCCGGCATCGCCGAAAGAAATGGTTTTATCATCACCAGAGATCCCAACGCCTTTAATTCGTGATCTCCGAATCCGCGAGTCACTCCGATGGTACCCATGAGTCTCGCTCTCTTTCCGGTTCCCGAAATCAGAGGTAATTTTAAATCGTCCGGCACGATGGTGCGGTAAGAATATCCCAAACCCTCCGGATGACGGTACAAAACGGGTTTGCCCAAATCTTGGGACGTTGGTCGTCTGTAATATTCAAACGAAGTGTAGTCGTTTTTCAACAGGAATGATTTTTGATATCCGACATTGCATATGCGCACCCGTTCCGACGTGGGAGTGTGATCTCGGGAAAGGGGTTCGACTCTGTCCCCTACTGCCACGATCGCACGCGAATCACCCGCACATGCGGTGTACACTTTACCGAGCATGAACAACACCACCAAAGCGGTACAACCACCTTTCACCTCGTAATTCTCCTTATCTTCTCCTATTCTCTTATCCATTTCAATGAAAGACGTTTCCAACGCTCCGACGATTACCTGCGATGCATTTACGGGTTTCCTAAAATCCACCTGATACTTCATGCCACCTCTTTGAAATTGAACGTCACCCTCGTAACTGTTATTATTCGGTATCAATATATCCGCGACGTTCTCGAGTTTCTCGTGCAATATCGATTCCAATTCTTTTGCTGCAATTACGGCAACCATGGGTCCACCGTGCCCGTCGAAAATGGCAAACACCGTGTAAGTCAAAGATGGGTCTTTGACATCGAATGTATCCGTTTCGAGTTTATTCACGTTATCTTCGTTAGCTTCCAACGATTCCTTGGGCATGTTCGCCCACCATTTGGGTGTTAATTTTCTCCTCCAAACGGCTCCCTGATCCTCGTTGAGTTTTGATTTTCCCGCGTTGATGCATTCGCAATATCCGGCTTTGAATGGGAATTCCAGATCCCGGGGGAGTATCAACGGTCTCATTTCCGTATCCGAAGCCGCGTTGACTTTTTCATCAGAGAAATTTAAAAAACTCGGACGAGTGTATTCGTATTTGGAATTTGTTGTTGTTGTATTTTTTTGATTTCCGACGTAGTCCAAACCATCCGATCCTCTGACCGCATTAACGATTGCACTTTTGAATTTTGAAAACATGGCGGATAACCGCACCAATGCGTCATTGAAATTTATCCGTTGATAAAATTTCACGCGTATGAAACAAATTAATGATAATAAAAAACTGTTAATTATATATTTTTCACATTTTCTATCTGTGATATTCCATGATGATATTTTTTTATTTATTAACGGTTTTATTTTCGTCCGCACTTTTTTTTTCAATGTTTCATTTTTCAATAATATGTGGATGTTGTTATTATCTTTTTTTTTTTTTAACATCCAAATAATTAATTATATCTTCGAAAAAAAACTTATTTAAATAGTTAAAAAAAAAAAAAAAAACTATTCTCAGGGGAATATAATAATGTGAAAAAGGATTTTTTTATATATTTATTTATTTTAATAAAAACTTGCCAAACAAACAAATTTCTAGATATTTGTAAGGCTTTCACACTCACGACCGTCTTGCATTCGGCATATTAGTTTATTTATCATCTGAAACAGAAAAATACAAAAGATTTCAAAGATTGGGAGATGATTTTAATCATACATTAATTTTTTTTAATTTTACTCTTTTACAATTTATAAGAGAGAGAAAGAGAGAGAGATAGATAGACAAAGATATGTGTATGTGTATATAAAGAGAATACATTAAAAAAAAAAAAAAAAAAAAAAAAAACAAAACTACATATTGTTCTTCCAATTAACCTGCACATGTTATTTCAGAAATAATTAGCAAAAAAAAAAAATTTTTTTAAAAACACGTTCTGAAAATTTTTAACAATTAAACCCTACAACTTCACAATTAACATTTATTAACTATGATTTTCTTCATTATTATTGAGAATGAGAATAATAATAATAATAAAAAATACTTAAATAATCGCGTTATAATAATCATCGAGTAATTTATCTTTTTTAAAAAAAAAAAAACTATTCAAAAACCTACTTTACTAAATAATTAAGATAAACTAGGTATGTAAAATAACCGTGAAAACCACACACAACAGCATAACTAATTTCCTTTTGACACGAGAGAGAGAGAGAGAGAGAGAGAGAAAATGTCACGTGATTGATATACGTATCGATTTATCGATCTATCGAATATAATTTCGATTAACTAAAACGAGTTGAATATTTAATTTTTTTATATTTCTAATTCTTATTGATTTTTCTTTTTCTGATAAAGAAAAACTTTTGTAACTTTTTATGTTTTTGTTCGACTTTGAATTAAAATCAATCATTAAAGTAAATATTTTTGCTATCGTTAAGAGACATTTTTAAATATCGAGTAAAGTTAGCAAAGCTTTCCGTATATTTATAAAGAATCATAAATAAAAGTAATAAAGGGTGATAAACTTTTATAACTTTCGATATCACTTATAGTTTTGCCAATTATTACAAATTATTATTTTATTATCGATTAAACATAATTAAATATAATTAATTTAATAGAATTATCGATTTATCAATTACTGTAAGCACGATTGTAAATTGCTTTGAGAAAAATTTTTCAATATCGATATTTGCTTTTAATTAATTTCAATTAAATTACTTTGTAAAAGAGTTATTATCGAAAATGATGATAACAATATTGAAAAAAAAAATCAAAAGACGAAAAGGTTTCACATTTAAAAAGTAATAAATAGTATCAATAATTATTTATTTAAACTGTATCGTTATGTAAAATCAATTTTTTAAATAAGACATTTAATAAAATCATCTTGTTTCCAATCTAAAAAAATCTTTTCTAATTTTCTATTTAACATATTTAAATATAATATTGGTTAGTAAGTTAATATTGAACAATAAGCAAAAATAAAAATGCTGATATTCACAATAAAATGTAACAATTCATATACTGAGACTATCAATTAATTAATTAACACTCCATTGGTTAGCACATGTTAAATTAAAAATCACACACACATTTATTTAAAATTGATATTTTAATAATAATAAGTACAGTAAAATCAAATGTTTTATCAACGTACTATAAATAAATATAAGTAAAATAAAATAAATTGAAAAATAAGTCACAAGTAACATAAACGATGATGAAATTTTTTTTTTTTTTTTTCACATTTGTATGTATATATTACGCCGAAAACAAGCATTAACACTAAAATACTAATAAAATATTTTTCAAACAAAAAATATTTATACCATTTTAAAGTTTACTTGCTTGTAATTTATATCGAATCGAATTTGAGAATTTATTTTTTTGAAAGAAATTACTACAAATACTTTAAGGGTCAACATAATTGTTTAGATTCAAACATTGACCTCGTAAATTATATCTCCCGAAATAAAATTTAGAAAAACGTTTAAAAGTACTCACATTATTTATTTATATATGATTTTTTTTTATGAACGTTACTAAATTAAAAAAAAAAAACATTTATACTAAATATTGGTCATTTTCTTGGCACCATACGGCATATATTAAAAAAAAAAAATCAATAATTTAATTTAAGATTTAATCGAAACGTTGCAACACTGTTGCCACTTTTACAAAAAACGTTTGTTTTCGTAAATTTTTAACTTTCCTACAAAAATCAAACTCGATATTTTTAATAATTTTATTTAAAAAATTTAAATTTTATTTTTAAAAATGTAATTATTCTTTAATTCAAATAATATTTAAATTTATTTTTACGTAATTGATACTCTATGATAAAATTTGGCAACATTGCGTTATTAAAAATGGCGTTCAGCGTTTATTTAAAACGCAGAATTGTTTAAATCAAATTTCTAATCATTAATATTTATGAAAAATGTGATTTGATTAAACTTTTTAGAAAGAAATTTTTATAAAAAATGTTTTTTTTTTTTAAATTTTTAATAATTAAATAAAAATCTAAAGAAAAAAATTATTTTAATTAAAAAAAAGTCGTTTTATTCACTTTAAAACCAATACTACGTCTTTCCTGTTGGACTTCAAAAGTCATTGGTAAATTATTTTTAAATAATTATATTGTTTAATTTGTAATGTGTAGATTTCATTTAAGAATCACTACTCAAGTATACTTACTCAGTTACAAAATCTATGAATGATAATAATAATGAAAAATGAGAAAAATTGAATATATGCAGAGAGAAAGTACATAACAAAATAAAAAATTATTAATAATTTAATAAATATTTTTATTATGTTAAAAGTGCAAGTTTATTTTTTTTTTTAATTACATTTTTTAATTAGGAAGCAAATTATAATAATAAATAAAAAAAATTCCTTTTATATATAAATCTTTAAATTTAAAAAGGTAAAATAATTAAAAAAATATCATTTACATTATTTTTCTCTTTAAATTTATTTATTTGTAGAAACAAATTAAAATGAATTTAAAGTATATAATACAAAATCTGTCATTTATTATTTATTCTATATAATTAATTATTAAATAAGCTAAGAAAAAGCACGAAATAATGCGCAATTTTATTTTGTGCAAAATTTATCTTATGTTTATTTTCCTTTCATTTTCCAAAACTCTAAATTAAACACATACAATAAATAAATAAATAAATAAAAAATTTATAAATAATTATTAATTCAAGTCAGTATGTGTAATAAACAATTGATAACAATAAAAAAAATTTACTTTTAATCGATTTAAATAAAAGTATTAATATTTTCGATTGCCACCTTTTAAAAACTTTTTATATAATAATAATAATGCTTAGGTTGTGTATTTAAAAAGTCAGATGAATATTGACCTTAAAATAGTGAAAATAGTTTTTTAGTTAGCAACTACTTAAAATTTGTTTTCTCTTATTAGAATTATTATTATTATTATTTTTTCTTTTTCTAGAACATAGATATACGGATATTATATCATTAATATCATTAATGCAAAACATGCATAGAGAATTTATATAGATGTAGTATTTATATATATATAAGTATTTTTAATATAAATATATTCCCTTTTCATCTTCCAGGGAATAAATTTTTGTAAAATGGTGATGATTAAATAAAAATGAGAACAGTTCATCAATGTGGAATTTTTTTATTCTTTAAGTTTGTGCCATTCTGCAATTTGTCGCCTTGGCGAGTTACAAACTTCGTTCCAGTGATGTAATGCTGTTCCTGTCGCTTTTTCGCCTCCTAATTCCAAACGACCAATGACCTGGAAACAAATCATGTAAATTTTTACATGTCTTTTCCTTCTATTGGATTTTATGGAGAGAGAGAGAGAAAGAGAGAAAACTGACCTCGTTTTTAGTGACCCTGTCCCAATCCAAAAGCAAAAACTCTAATGATATATTGTCTAATTTCTCAGCTCCAGCTGGTATTTCAAAAATGAATGATTCGTTGAAAACAGGATTTAATGTTCTTTTCTTAACATGAGTTTTCTTTTTAGCTATTCTTTGATTATTACATAACAAATACATTTTCACGTAGGGATCTGAAACAGTTTTTCATTTTCATAATCAAAAAATGTAGAGAAAAACATTCAAAAAACATCTAAAACCTTTTATTTAATCAAAAAAAAAACATTTTTTCCTAATATAAAATATATATAATAAGATTTAAAAAATGTCAGGTACGGAAAATACGAAGAGATATAAATAAAAATCCGTTTTGAATTATTTCAATACCTGCAAGACCGGTGACGTCCATTTTTGGCAAATTTCGAGCTTTGAGTATGACGACGGTTAATCTATTTGCCGCGGGTTGCCAACATAACGAAATTAAAATTTCCCCGCGTCCTTGAGATCTTATCTGCAAAGCAAATTTTTATTTAACGTTTAAAAATGTTTCGTTTTTGTTGGTTTCCCCCCCCCCCCCCATTTTTGACTTACTTTGATACTCCTCGGTTGTATTTCTCGACAGAGAGCCAATTGTTGATTTTCAAATTGTGTCACGTCAATGTTTGAAAGAGAACAAAAAACTTCACCGATAATATCGTCACGAGAATATCTGTCAAAACTTAACACGACGAAATGAAGTGTCGTAGCCTGGAAACAAAAGAAACCGGAAGTTCATGTTTGTCACGTTGAAAATGTTTTTTGTTTTTTGTTGTTCTAACGAACCTGAAGTTGACTCGGACTTATTCCGTAAAATGTAAAATCTTCATCGTAAACAGGATTTCTTGTTTTACGTAAAACTCGAGTTTTCACTTTGTGCTGTTTGTCGGGTAGCAATTGAAGTTTAACGTATGGATCGCTCGAATCGGTATTGCTATCTTTTGCCGGTAAATCTTTACATTTAACAACGCTTACAATCAATGCATTCTTTTCCGTTTTGTACCTGAAATCGCAACAGCAACAACAACAGCATTAAAAAAATCCCAAAAATTTTTTTTATAATTCAACAAAATACAAACGAACCTCAATTTAAACACGATTAAACCTAATTTTCCAGTCGATGTTGTATTTTTTTCGTTGGATTCTGTTTCGTCTTTACTCTGTACGCTGTTGGATTTTTGTTTTTCATTTTCCACAACGCAAACTGGAGCCGAATTCGTTACAGTCAGAGTATTTTTTTGTCCATTTTCACCACCAGCACAAGCAGCAGCAGTTGGAGAAAGATCAGTTATTGGACTCCTTTGATCTGGATTCGTTGGAGAAGATGCTGCGCTGCCCTAAATTTAAAATCAATTAATACTCTCTCTCTCTCTCTCTCTCTCTCTTTCTCACTCGTGGGAAATAATTAAAATTTCTTACTTTTTTGTTAATTTGTGTTAACTTACCCCCGATGGAGATTTTCCACCCGTCGGACTCGGTGATTTCTTAAGATAATGAATGTTTCCACCGGTTCCGGCCGGGCTTTTCACAGCGGTCGGTTTTCTATGCTGATGAAAAGCCAACGGTTTTTCAGCTCCCGCTTTAAATTTTTTCGAACCGAATAATTTATTAGAGCCATAATTTGTATAACGACTCCTATGACAAAAACAAGTCACGGCAAATATACCGACGAAAAATGCCAAAGCTGCCAAACAAATTCCAACTAATGCCGGAGTTGATACTGGAAAAACAAAACAAAAAATTTTCCGTTAATGAACGTCGAAAAAAAAAAAAAACACGGGGGAACGAATTTAAAACATTGCAATGAAATTTTTAATGTAACGTACACGTTAACTAAGCCCCTCCCCCATCGCCCCTCACTTAATTTACATTCAAAAAAAAAAAAAATTTTTTTCATTTTTTTGTTTCCTTTTTCTTCTTCTTACGAAAAAGAAAAAATTACGTAATATTTGTTAGCTTTTATATGTAAAAAATTTAGGGGTGGGGGGAGGGGCCCCCCAGGTAAAAAATAAAATTTTTTTTTTTTGGTAAAACAAACGGAAAAAAAGAATCTTTAAATTACAAAGGTCAGAATATCAAATTACCTTTTTTTTTTTTTTTTTTGGACAATTTCATACGCGGTTCGTTCGAGCTCCCCCTCCCTCCCCTTCCCCCCCAAAAAAAACCCCTCAAGTTTGCGTGGAGGATTTGATGAATATATATATTTTTTTTTATCTTTCTTCTTTTTCTTTTATTTTTTTATTTCCCCCCTTCCTCCTTCCTTTTCCCCCTTCCCTTTTTTCTCTCGGGTAAAGTTCTAGAACCTTTTTTACTTACTACTTACTGTTCAAAGAGCGACTTGTCAGAAATGCCTTTTCAAAAAAAAAAAAGGTTTCTCTTAAATTAAAACGAATTCACTTTAGTAAAAAAAAAAAAAAAAAAACGTTTAAATCAATTAGCAGACGAAAATGGAAAATAATGGAAAGAAAAAGAAAAAAAAAGAAAAATTTAAGAGAAAATTTTTTTTTTTTTGTATCCCTAAAACTTGTCGCTAAACATTTTTTTGATAAAAATGGCGGGAAAATAATAATAATAATAAAATTTAATGACTTTGGTTGTTATTATTAATTAATTGATTTTATAAATTTAATTTAATTTATTATTACTTTGCTGTTGAGGAAACGGAAATGAATTATTTGTCATTTGGAAAAATTAATTTTACCCCTCGGAAAATATAAATAAAAAAAAATTATTATTATTATTATTATTATTATTATTATTATTCCGGTTTCCTAAGTATGAAATATGTAAAATGAAAATTTATTATTTTAATTTTTTTTTTTTCGGGGGGGGGGCGAGCGGGGGATTAATGGTTTCCTTTTTTATTTAATTAAAAACTTTTATTAAACCTTCATTGATATAACAACCGACAACAACCAATTTGAAATTTTCCTGGAAATTTTCCAAAAAAAAAAAAAAATTTACTAAAATACGGTCGATTTACCTTCGGAAAAAAAAGGAAAATTATATAAATTAATCGAATCCATAGAGTAAGTAAAAAAAAAGAAGTATTACCAACATAACATAACACTTCATTCGTTAAAACGTTTTTATTTTTTATTACTCTATGATTTTCTTTAAAATTAATTATCTTTCTTTTCTTCGGTTTCTTATTAAATAAATTTTTCTGTTTTTTTTTTCTCTCCTTAAGAATAAATTTTCCTTCCGCCATTTTTCTTTTTTTTTTTTGTATTTTTAAATAAAATTAGAAAAAAATCAAAGCGTGAAAAATTTTTATTTGAAATTTTAATAAAAATTTCCAAAGGAAAATTTAAAAAAAAAAAAAAATAAATAAATAATAATAATGATAATATTAATGCGTATATAGTTATTCGAAGTGATAAATTTAAAAAATGTCGCATCATCTTCTCAGATTTTTCTTTTTTCTTTTTATCTTCTGCCACGTACGTATATTTATTTATTTATTTTTATTATTATTATTCTCGGTATCGAATCGAATTGAATTTTTCTTTCTTTTTCTTTTTTTTATTTTTCTTTGATATGAAAGTTTTTTTTTTTTGAGCTTTATTTGAAATTTAATTCTTTATGGTAAACATTAAAAAAAAGACTTCAAATTTTCTTTTTATTTATTTATTTATTTATTTCTATACGTTTGTGTGTGTGTGTGTGCGTGTGCGTACGAGTGCGTGCACGTTTGAAAAATTAAAAAAAAATAAAAATAAAAACCCTTTCGATATTTATATTTAAAAAAAAAATGGCGGAAATACAGGAGCAAACAAATAACTTTTTACTTTACAACAAAAATATTTAAAAAATTACTTTAATTACTTTATTATTATTATTATTATTATCATTATTATTTTATTACGTCGGGAAAGTTTTTAAAAGCTTTTAAAATAAAAACCAAATGGAAAAAAATAAAAGATAGAAAATTGAAATAAAAAATAAAATAAAAAAAAAAGTAAAAATGAATTATTTCGGTCTTGTTATTTTGATGCTTCTGCCAATTGATTCAAAAAGCAATTTCCGGTTAAACCTTTTTTTTTTTTATTTTCTAGCTTTTTTATTAAAAAACCTTAACTCTTGAAACATTTACTCAGTGAGAGAGAGAGAAAGAGAGAGGGAGAGAGAGAGAGAGAGAGAGAGATACGTTTATAAAAAAAAAAAAAAAAAAAAAAACAGCAAAAAAAAAAAAATTTTTTCTTTAAAGAATAATGATGATGATGATGAATTTGTGCTTCGTTGAAATAATGATTGAATATTGAAAATTCCCCCCCCCCCAAAAAAAAAAGAACAAACAATAAGAAAGAACAACAACAACAAAAACAAAACAACAACAAAACAAAAACACAAGAATTTTTTTTTTTTTTTGCAAAATTATTTAAAATTTTCTTTAAGTTAATTTTTTTTGTCACGACCTTTAAATTATTCATTCCTTTTAAAATAATAATAATAATAATAATAATAATAATAATAATAATAATAATAATAATAATAATAATAATAATAATAATAATAATAATAATAATAATAACGAAAGGTATTTTTTTTGTTCAGAAAGTATTAAAACATATCGACGACGAAAATTTTATAAGTAAATCTCAATCCACGACATGTTTTACTAAACTAAACGTTAAATTTGTTTATATTTTTTATCATTTGATGATAACGTATCACCATAATCACGTGGGTGGATCACGTGGTGGGAATTTCGTTCCAATTTTGTCCGGCAGGTGGAAAAAAATTTTTCTAAATAAAATTCCAACTTAGTAATAGATCAAGATCCAGTTTTTATTATTCGTTACGTTTTTTAAATTTGTCATGTATGGAAGGGCAGAGGTTTCCATTTCTAGAAAATCGTGGAAATATAAACGTTTTTATCCAAAAGGTTAATGTCACGTTAATCATTTATTTGAAAAATATCATCTTAAAGAGATTTGGTGAAAATTTGATGCGTTTTCAAATCTCAACAGAAATCGAAATTTTTGTTCTACTTCCTGTTTCCGACATTTTTTTTTTTTTTAATTTTTCAAAAGCATACGTAAAAAATCTTAAAAAAGAGGAGAGAGTATGGCAGAGGAGGTTTTTATTTTAAAAAAATGATTCGAGGGAGAAAACATCAAGCCCGGGGGAGTATAATTTCCCTTGTGAATTCACCGCCATTTAACTCTATGAACTATTCTCTTGCCCCCCCACGAATATTTTTTTCTATTCTCACTCGTGTGGCAACTTTTTCGGATATTATTCCTTATGTTTTTTAACTACAGATCGATTTAAAAAAGTTTTAAATAAAATTTTCAATCGGTAACCATTCCGACACGTTATTTTATTACACCTGACGCCATTTCTTATTTCGAAAAAATCCAAAAAAAAAAAAAAAAGTTTCTTTTTAACTTTTTAGTTTTTTTTTTTTTTTTTTTTATGACAAAAACTTTGTTTTTAAATCTTCTTTACAAATAAATTATTTTCTTTTTTTTATTGTCATTTTATTTTATGGAGAACAACAACAACAACAACAAACAAAAAAAAACTCATAGGATTTAACACAGAAAAAAAAAATCAAATCTATTTTTTTTTAAACATATTCTTAGCATATCACTATATTCTTTTTTATATTATTATTATTATTATTAAAATTATTACGTCAAAAAGTAATAATAATAATAAGAAAAGTTTTTATTAAAAAAAAAAAAACTTACCCGCAAATCGTGAAACGCTCGCGAGAACTTCCAACATAATTTAACCATTGCTGATAAAAACAATATGGCGGACAAATCCGCTTTTATTATATGTGTTGCTATTATTATTGTCAAGTTAAGCACACTTTTTTTAATTATTATTATTATTTTTCACGTTAAATTCATTTCGTTTTAATTTATTAATAATAAAACAACTAATTTATTAATCGATAATAAATTTATGAATTTAAACAAATGCATTTTTTTTTTTTTAAATTTTTCAGACTGAAAATATTATTATTATTATAAAAACGATTCTCACGCGCGAGAGTTTATTTTATTTTTTTTTTTTAAACACGTTTTAATTTATTATTATTAATAAAATTTATCTGTCACGTAATTATGATAACGAAATTAAAATAATTATGACAAAAAAATTATTTTATTCTCTTCACAAGGTAAAATAAAACAAAAATTTACGTGAAACGTCCGTTAATTAACGTTAACGAAAACTGAATGTTGTTTGTATTACAAAAATCACACCGTTTCGGTGTTACCAACTTAAATTTTTTGAAAAAAAAAACATGACGTCATCATGTTGTGTAAAATGGCGGCGGTGTGTTGTTATTATATTTTTATTGTAATATTTTATAGATCGATTTTATTTTATACGTGAAGCAGACGACGACGACAATAATAATAATAATAATAATTACAGTTATTAAAACGATTTTTATTTACTCAAAAAAAAAAAAGAAATGTATAATAAAAACATTCGACAACTGAAACAAATTATACGTATAATTTATTTAAATAAACAAATATTTACGATTGGTTAATCGCATCGATGACGTCATTTTTAAAAAAACCGTTAATTTTTTTTTTAATAATTTATCTTTTTCTTTTTGTATTAAATTTTCGTTTTTAAACCGAAAAAAAAATTTAAAAAAAAAAAAACGTGGAACGTTACGTTTTATCATCATCATCATTATCATCATTAATTATATTAACGTGTTTTAAAAAGTAAAAAAAAAAAAAATTGTTTTTTTAGCGCAGACGCCATTTTTTATGATTTGTTAATCCGACGTGTATAGATTAAATTAAAAAAAATTATTTTTTTTTTTTTATACGAGGAGCGTAAAAAGGTAGGATTAAATAATAATAATAATAAT